CCGGAGTGGAGGTCGCCGGTCTGGGGTCCATAGGAGCCACCCTGGGGCCTACCGCCCTTGAGCCCGCCTTGCTCGGCCTCGGGTCCGGAGTGGAGATCGCCGGTCTGGGGTCCATAAGAGCCACCCTTGAGACCACCGTGCTCGACGTCCTCGGGTCCGGAGTGAAGGTCGCCGGTCTTGGGTCCATAAGAGCCACTCTGGGGTCTACCGCCCTTGAGCCCGCCCTGCTCGGCCTCGGGTCCGGAGTGGAGGTCGCCGGTCTGGGGTCCATAAGAGCCACCCTTGAGCCCGCCCTGCTCAGCCGCGGGTCCGGAGTGGAGGTCGCCGGTCTGTGGTCCATAAGAGCCACCCTGGGGCCTGCCGCCCTTCAGCCCTCCGTGCTCGACGTCCTCGGGTCCGGAGTGGAGGTCACCGGTCTGGGGCCCGTAAGAGCCACTCTGGGGTCTACCGCCCTTGAGCCCGCCGTGCTCTACGCCGTGGTCAGTCTCAGGTCCAGAATGCAGATTGCCGGTCTGGGGGCCGTACGCACCGCTGCCTCGAGGCGCGTAGGATCCGCCCTGTGGAGCGCGTGAGCCGGAGCCGGGTGCGACGGGATAGTAGCCATCGCCGCCGACCTCGCGGCCAGGGCCGTACGATCCACCCTGCGGCCGCCGGGAGCCCGGTCTTGGAGCAGGATAGTAGTCGCTGTCTGCGGGCGCGGGTCCGTTGTAACCACCCTGAGGACGGCGGTAGTCCGAGCTGGGCGTGTCGACGCGGTAGTCGGTCTCAGGACCAGCGGGGCTGTACGAGCCACCGCCTACGGGGCCGTAGCCTCCAGCCTGAGGGCGGCGGGAGCCAGGGGCCGGGAGAGCACCGCCGTCGATCATGACCTCGCGGCCAGGGCCGTACGAGCCGCCCTGGGGACGGCGGGAGGGTGTCGGGTAGTCGCCTTCGACGGGGCCGTAGGAGCCGCCCTGAGGACGGCGGGAGCCGGGTACCGGGTAGTCGCCTTCGACGGGACCGTAGGAGCCGCGCTGAGGCTGAGGCTGGCGGTAGCCCTGGGTAGGCGTGTCGAGGTTGTAGTCACCGTCGGCCTCACGACCCGCGGGGCCGTACGAGCCGCCGGTGGGACCGTATCCGCCGCCGCCGACGGGGCCGTAGGAACCACCACCACGGGGACCGTACGAGCCACCCCTGGCGGGGCCGGTGCGTCGGGGGAGGTTGTCGGGAAGGGGTCCCAGCCCGTCCTCGGTGCGCTGGTCCAGGTACTGGTCAGCGCCGGTGTTGCCCTTGATGCCGTAGGGCTTGGCCGAGGCCGTGGCCAGCGCCAGGGCGCACAGCAGGCTCACCTGTCAACAGAGGTACATCATCATCACCTGCCATTGACGACCACATTATCGGGATCGTTCAGAAAGCACATCCGTCTTTCTCAGATTCTGTCGGTAAATTGCTGGAGCTGCGGACGCCCGCGCGACTTAGGGTAGGCCGCCCCGCAGTACATGCATGCACTGCAGGCAGGATGTTGCCTACCCATCAGGCGCTTTGAGAGCTTGCATCGGCTGAACGGGGCTGTTTCGTAACGGCGAATGACGGCGTACTTTCTGGATGATCCCAATATGGCACCGGGCCAAGCTATTGCGCTCCGCAAATCGCACTCTCCCACCCCACTCGTGTTTCCAAACACTGTGCACTCGCGGTACTTACGGAGAGCTTCATGTTGCCGCTTCGGATGCGCGCGCTCTTGCTCGTGAATGAGTGTGTGGTGCCGGTGCCGGTGCGATCGCGGTCCCCAGCGTTCGAGGTGAAATCCGCTTCTGCTCGTCGGCGAGGTTCGCCTGCCCGCTTTATACACGTCAAAGAAAAAGGCTCGACGAGATGCTGCTGCCGCCGCGGCCTCCTCCTCCTCCTCGTCTCCTCCTCCCTCCCCCTCCTCCTCTCTATGTTTATCGCGCCGCGCGCGCCATTCGTCATTCTACTAGTTGCGAATTTAGCGAGAAGTCCCGGGCGGCCCGGGATGGCCGAGGGGGGGCGTGCCGGCCGTCCGGCCGTGTCGGTCTTCTTGTTGCTTCTTTTGTCGAACAAGTGAGCTGCGTTCGGACGAACATGTTCATGTCGAGGAGAGGAGGGGAGGAGAGGCGCGGGGAGCGCGCGGAGCGAGGCGTTCGGGCTTGCCGATGGTGGCAGAGTTTTGGGAGAGGCACTCTGACGGGAAGGGGTAGGGGCGGGATGGAAGGCCTTACAGCGCCGTGACCGAGACCGCGGGCCGCGCTGCACGTGCTCGTGGTCCCACTATGGCGCACCCGCCCCGCCCCCCA